ATGGAATGAAATGATGAAAAATGGAAATGGAAAAAATGAGTAATGAGTGTTACATATTCTTCATTATAGAACTGAATCATAGAAGAGTGATTTGATACATCCAGCAAATTGGTTTTCAGGGATTTCCAAAGCGAATGCGCCCCATAAAGTGAACTGGAGCAGTGCAGTGGTGTAATTTGACACTGCGACTAATTAGCATATCCCAGAATTCATAGAAATTGAAGCGATAAATTGTATTGGGGCCTGGGGCCTGCTGGGCCACGGTCGGAAAATATGGAGATCATTATAAGTAGTTTATTAATTTCACTCGATGGAAGTGAAATTTGAAGGAGGCATCTTAGTTTACGGATAATCGATGGACACTGAGTAAAGGGCCGGACTATTTTCTTGTGTTTTTACCAGTAGCGCTAGATGAGTCATGGTAGAAGCAGAATCTAGGGAATAAATTTTCCGATCTCGCATACGGCTGAAGTTTACGAATGCAAACTTGTCTGCAAAAAATTAAAAAATTTGGACTCAAAAATTTCAGAAAAGTTCGATTTTAAAAAGTCTAAAAAATTGGTCTTAAAAGGTTCAAAAAAATTCGACTTCTTAAAAAAAAAACAAAAAATTTAATAAATTCAAAAAATCAAGCTTAAAATAACCAAGAGATTCAACTCTGAAAAAATTCGTCTTCCAAAAAATTCACGGAAAACAAACTTTAAAAATATTCAAAAAAATTTAACATATACTTAAATCGTCCTTTATCACGTACTGTTCTGTTCATATCTTCTCTCATACTAATGCAATTCTGATTGTAGACGGCTGATGCATATTCAAATGTAATCATTGTGCAGAAGCATCCGAAAATGATGACAGCTGCGGACGAGATTTATCACGTTGTATGTGATAAAAACAAACTGCAGGTGCGTAAAGATTTTTTTGAATTTAAATTTTTCCATAAGCCAGATGTGAAAACTCAAACTTCTCCCGGTATCTAGACATGAATTTTAATGTGATGTGCAAAGCATATAGCCAAAATCGCTCTGGTAATTTAGAACGAGCCATTGGATATCACATTATCATCATGATGGCATTATTTTAAAACATATGACAAAACGCCTAACTGACCTGGCATAAGGTTGCATGCATATTAAGCTTTAGTGTAACCTGGAAAGCATACAGCCAAAATACTACGATGCCACGATCCGTTCCCATAGATCGGGACTTCTTTTCACAGCAGTATCTTTCCTTATTTTTTGAAGACTGTGTGCATAGCTACTCGACTTTTACTGCATTACCAACCGTTGATTAGGTAGACATCAGTTCGCATCCCGAGGTGACATGCAGCTCAACATCGTAGGGCTTGGCGTAGCTTCACCGGCTGCGTGGAAGCATCCCAGTAATACCATTAACATTGGAATATCTCAGCATCCGGACAGTTTTGATATTTTTGCTTTCCAATTAAGTGTTACCGATTCCTCAGGACAAAAAAACCTGATGGGTTGTAGGATTAATTTCATTGAAATAGACATCAAATTTAGTTACTTAGACGTGAAGCTGCTCGGAACGGCGAAAAATAAAAATTTAGCAAAAAAAGCGAAAAGAAGAAGCGTGTCTTAAGTAAAACAGAGCATTTTGATCGAACTGTGTTAAATGTAAAAGCTTAAAATACTTCAGACGGTGCGCTATAAACCTGAAGTTCGCACTGACACTTTCTTCGCTCCTTAAAATTGTTCAAGTCAAGAGTTCCCTTGTAATTCATATTAGTGGAATACTTTGGCGCTCCGGCCAAAGT